TTTTTTTGGGTTGGTGTCAAGAGGAAGTCACCCACAATTGGGTGCCTTGAGGATGAGCTGGCATTCACAGAGGCATGTCTCGATAGTTTAAACCTACATCTTGAAAAAGTAAAGAAAAGAGCTGATGGGCTTCTGAAACAGAATTGTTGCATTTACAAAAAAAAACAAGAAACACAAAGCACACTAAAAATGACTCACAGTAACAGTGACAGTAACTGTGTGTGAGAAACTAACTGTATATGTGAGCCTGCATCCACAGTGATGAGAAAAGTGGATGTGAAGGGAGTGTTGACGCAAGATGACGTCTCAGTTATGCAGAAATTTCAACACAGTATACCACACAACGCTTTCAACATGGTTAAACGTGGCCTGGAGAATAACTGAAAATTTTATTACATTTTGAGTGAAACAATGCGACTGTCAACTGGGTCATAACTTTTGCACACAGTTAAAATTATTTCATCCTTAGAGGCTTAAAACAGAAGGTCATACAGTCGAGCCCAAGTTGAAATTCAAAGTGAAAGTTCTGTGTCTGACATTAGGCAGTGTTTTAACCAAATCCTATTTTTACTTGCTCTATGTGGGAGACACTTGACGATGAGGAGGTTTGGAAATTGTATGAAATCAAACATATGAAGTGTATATTCACAGGTTCTCATTTCTTTCTTGTTGTCCGCATAACACACACCCACACTTTCACACACCTGTGGTTAGTGGACTACTATCAGGCTGTGACTCAGGATGGACGGCTCAGTACCTATAAATTTCTGATTTGGTTCTTAGTCAAGAATCCACTGGTAATTGGCGCAGTAATTTACTCCGTTACAACCATGGACACAGTGGCCGGGACAACGGGACACTTTGACTATTACAACAAGTTAACTACACTCTCCCCTAATGAAACCTGCTTGCTGGTCTTTATCCTGATTATCCTGTGAACCATCCAACCTCAAGCTGAAGGAACTCTCTAAAGCTATTAACAACTAATATTTACTGAATATGTTTCACTTTGGGGGAGAACAGGAATATAATTAAGCATCAGTTCAATCCGTTAAGGGACACAGCGGCCCCAAAATTTCGATCACGCTAGTCAAGCAGAGAAGTGTGACACCTCATCAAGAGGGCAAAAGAGATGAACAAAAAAATAAAAAATAAAACAATAAATATATTCTGCACTATGTCTTTCTGCCATTATAGATGTAATGAGCTTCAAACACTCAGAGACAACATTACAGCTTTTTTTTCCCTGACGAAAAATCTGACAAGACCAGCATTTTAACTGTGAACAAATGAACCTTTCTTAGAAGGATAATACTTAAATTTAAATGTGTGAGGGCATACATGCACACAGTGAGCAAGAGGCAGGGCATACCGAACACAGGTCGCTAGTATATTATAGGGCAAACATGGACAAACACATTCATACCTACAGGCAAATCTTAGCGCCATGTAAAATGTATTTCTGTGGACAAAGGGAAGAAACTGGAGCGTTCCAGACAGCCACATGCAGACACGAAGAGAACAGAACGGCTCCAGCTGGCCAGCAGATTTGAACCCGGGACCTTCTTGCCGTGAGATGACACCGCTAACCACTGCAAAGAATCTGGCTCTACCTCTTTTACTTGAGACTGTTTCAGAGTAGTATTATTTTACTCTTTGATAATTTTGTATGCTGTAATTTGTACAGTGTTTAGTGAGAAAGGGCATACAGCCTTGAATGAAAAGTGGTTTACAATGGGATCTACTGAAACACTGATTAGTATGGAGTATTTAACAATGTTTTTTACTTTTCAAAGTAAAAAAATATGACTCAATAATTCTTGTTGGAGATACGCTAATTTATTTATGTCTAGGAAAATAACCAAAAGGGTATACTTTGAAGACCACAATAACACATTAACGCAAACAATTGACAAGAAAAGTAAAAATCTTTACATTATGTCATCATTACGAGTGACTCCTGATGCAAATGAGCTGAAATCATTTGTTAATAGTAAAACCTGGTGATATGTAACACCCAGCACTGACATCTTCATCCTACTGCAAAGTCTGCTTTCTGTCTCCTGTCAGACCAGACAGATTTTCCACATTACGGATCCTGCATCTCAGTAGCCATGAATTGTTTTGTTTTTTTTAAGGCCAACAATAATTAACCCGAATATCAACCTGTTATATTCTCAGCTTGCGCCATCCTGGAGTTCTTTGACAGTTGCAACTCAAGTTGGCACTGACATGCGATACCTTTAACGCTATGCTCTTGGATTGGATTACTTATTGCATGGTTAGATATTGTTAAAGACGCCATGCAAGATACACAAGGCTGCAACCTTTTTCCTCCATCCATCCTTTGTGTTTGCAGCATAGGAAACCTGCACCCATCCTCTTATCTTCTCACTCCCCCATTCTCTCCACCACTCATCATCAACCCCCCTCACGCTCTCACTCATCCACACCATCGTTTATTCACTTCCCGTAAGCTGCACACCGAGGTCATGCTTGAGGTTTAATGTAATACCAGGAAACTGACAACATGTGCCCACCGAGAGGCAGCCCAGAGAAGAACAGGTTCACATTTTTTCCAGTCTCTCTTAAAACCAGTCAGGTATTTTTCACTAAAAAGACTGTAGCTTTGGAAGAAACCTACTTAAAATGTTGCATAAGCTTCAGATAAATGTTGCATGGAACAAGGACTGTATATTTTGTCCCCCCCCAATCTCTTACACTGGAAACACATTGGGAAGGGATCTCTAAATGGCCAACATGAACAGGAAGAATGATTATGGCAAGCAAAACCTCTTTAAGTGTTCACATGAGCACCTGTCCTTTACTTTATGGCAGACTATAAAACCTATCCTTCAAGGCTGTAGAACAAACTTTGTGGCATAAGATGGTAAGTACATGATGTTACATGATATAGATGTTTGGATACTAACAGATGTTGTGGACGGAGACATGGCCAGTCAGCGGGCAGCTTGTCGGAGAGAAACTAACAGAGGCAAATGGGCCCAGGCTACAGGATCATTTGTAGCCTGAGCTAATATACAACCATCTATTTCATTACATTATGCAGTGAGTAACTCTTACAGCCTAATGATATAAAAAATAAAAAAAAAAAAAATCATGATTTTCCCTTTAACAGTCAAATTACTGCGAGGACTACAAATTAACTGCTCATCCTCAGTCTACTATGTACATTTTCATTTAATTAGAGAAAACATTGTTGAACGTATAACCACTGATCATGTGAATTGTCACACTTTTTGAGCTGACATGGTGAGATGAGCTAATCAGCTTAATCAGAAATTCTGTGAAAATAGGCTCAGCAAGCCTTACGCTAATAGAGTCATTAGAATGATGAGTTTCCACAAACACAGTGTAGTCTAATGAATGATAAATAAATAAATAAATAACGTTCCAGTTCTATTCACAGTGAAATGCAACAATGGGCATATTTAATAGCCACCCACAACACAGACAAGAGTGGTATTTAGCCTGACAAGATATCAGGTTCTAGCACTTACTGGAAGACTGCAAGGATTGAGGCAGGCAATCATTTGTCATAGTTCCTGGCTGGGAATGAGAGTCTCAATGGTGCAACGGGTGACTGAATGGCACATCAGCTTGCCAGCACAGAAATTCATATCCTGACAGGTCTACCCTCAATATTGAGGCATAATCTATACCCTGCATTAACTTCTTTGACATCTTTCTCTTTCAGTTAAGAGAAGGATTAGTGTCGTAACTAGATATTAAACAAAGACATTAAATCTTATAGGAACTAATCTGAGGACTTTTTAAAGTTTAGATCGGTCACCTGCTGTGAACCTTTTCATAAACTCTATTATAAATTATTTTAACATCAATTCCAGTGTAGGTCAAGCTCCAGACAGAAAAAACAGAGAGAAGAAAAATCATAGACCTGGCCCCATTAGTACTGTAATTATACAGAAGTGTTTTCAAAATTCATTCAAGGAAATAAAAAATTAAAAGCACAGCCATAAGTGGTTAATAAAGTTCTTACTCGTCTTATTCAGAAGTTTCTCGATAAAGACAATAAAAACTCTTCACACAAGTAGCTTTCTGTTAGTCACAATTCATCATTTAAGACTTACTCGCCATGATGTCACAATTATACTTATGTATAAATATAAATTACCACAAGCCTTAAAACAACAGACTTGAACCAGTGTAATATATGGCAAAAAGAAGCAAACAAACCTTGGGAAGTGGTCGTCCCAGCTGTGAATACAATTTAGTCCAGAACTGCATGAGAGACATGGGTCCAAACGCTGCAGTATGGGGGGGGGGGGGTAAAATACACATACACATAAACTCCTGCTTCACCTTGAATCCCTGAATGCGACAGCCTCTTCCATGTGTTGGTCAAAGTGTTGGTATTCACCTTACAGCTGGTGCACTTCAACCCAGCAGTGGACTCTCACTAGTCCTTTCCCAGTTCCTCAACACACACATCTGCCTCTACCGCAGGTAAGCTCTGGGCAATGAGCTCACACATACAAACTCTGTTGCTCTCACAAACAGAGACACGGGCAGGTCTAAAACATGCTTCCTGCTTCGGTAGGACAGTCAGGCATTTGCATAGAGGGCTTAGTCATAGTGTTTGAGGACTAGTTCCTCAGAGCTCAAAAAGGTGGTTGGAGAGTGAGTGAGAGAGCAGAAGAGGGGAGGGGAGGGGAGAGGTGGGGAGAGGAGGGAGGGAGGAGGGGAGGAGCTTTCAGGAAATGATGCTTTTGTTGGTAAGTGACTAGAGTTACTGGCAGTCGGGCCCATTTTACTGTACATGGTGTAACTCAACCGCATTTGTAGTGTAAACAGTTTTGTGCTCTGGACCTGGCCGCTCCTCACACCCCGCTGCTTACTGCTGTGTTTAATGGGCCTGGGCCACTATTTAATGATCATTATATTTAGAGATTGACTCCCTGCCTGGCTGCCTGTCTTATTTCATACTCTGCTCTTTGTCTTTCTATTTCTCTGCACAGGCTCAATTTCAAGACTGCTATTCTCGTAATGATTAGTGATTATTGTAATGATCTACAGCTTAGAAGTGCAAATGCTGATAAGAAAAAACCAAAGAAGTTGTCTAGATAATTTGTAAGGTGAGTTACTTCTCTGAACTCAGCAGGCTTAAGTTGTCAGTTATCCTATGAAAACATTCTCCTGTTTATTCATCTCAGAGAGTTTTCACATGGTCCTCCAGCAGAGGTTATGATAAAAACATTACAGACAGCTGAAAATAACAAGAAGACAGCTGAAGTGGTCAGAAGTATATTAACAGTTCAAGTTCAAGCTGCAAATGTGCCAATTCAGTCGTCATCCAGTATTTCTATCTGTGTGCAATCACACAAATATCACAGATGGACATTCCCACTTACTGGAATCAAGGATACGATTGTTGAAAAAAAAAAAAAAAAAGTATTCTGGGAATCTGATGGCAAATGGGTTACTCCAACAAATCCAAGATGGTGATCAAAGACAATGTTGTAACATCAGCTTTTGCTGATAGAAAAAGAATGTTTACAAGCCACAAATGAGGACGTTTGTTGTATTTAAAAACAAGAATAATGTGATTTATTTCCCTCATGGGTGGAATAGGGGTCCATTTGCACACCCAGCTTCCAGGAATAATGATATCAAGCCAGCATGGTGAGGTACTGTAATGTCCATCTCTGCTGGACTGAAGGGGAGTCGGACTGTCAGAGACGCTGTGGCGCCTGTCCATGGTGTCATCATACGAGTGGGAATCCTCTGTATAATGTGTATGTGAGCGTGTTTGTGAATATGTGTGTGTTAGTGGGACATAGAGGGTCAGTGGAGAGGGATGAATCATTAATGAGCTTCTGTAGAATTCTCAAACTCTTAATCACACACACACACACACACACACACACACACACACACACACACACACACACACACACACACACACACACACACCTGATTGCATCACAGCCTAAAGAAAGAAGTACCCATCCCTTCACATCATGACTTCACTGACAACACAGTCGTAATTAATTTCTAAGCACTCCAACATGCACTCTTTGCAGATATTTACTCTTTAGGTTGTTTTCGAAAAAACAGTGTGTAATATGGCTGACTGAGGTCACAGACAAGCAGAATTTATTATTGTTTAGATTGTAGTCATACATACAGTACCTGTACTATGATGAAGGAAATGCTTTGCATATTTGCATGTTTTTTTTTTTTTACCACAACACACTTCTTATAAAATGTAGGATAAATAGAGGTTGAACCATCTAAAGCTAAACTAAAACTAGATTAGATCAGATGGGGCACTCATCACACAAGGACAACATGGCACCTATTAACAACCCTTCAAATTAACCTTTAACTTCCTCTTTAAACTAGGCCATCCAAATGACTGTGTTGTGAGTGTGTCTTATAAGGAAGTAACCGAGAAACACCAACTGATTTATATCATGATGTGCTTGCTGCAAACAATAAGTCAAGAAAAACAAGATAGTCTTCTTTGCCAGTAAAATAAACCCCTGAGGCAGAGCACCTTTCCATTTCTCTCCTTAGATTTCTTCAAGCTAAGTTAAAAAAAAAAAAAAAACTTTGTCAAATTATATCAAATGGACATTTCTAGATGTACTGTGCACATATTTTTCAAAAAAAGATTTCCTTGTAATTCAGAGTGATACATTAAGTATGTTTGGAGGCCATGGGATTCTGAGGAGAATTTTATTTATTTTTTTGTCTGAACTATACTCATCTGCACAAAGTAAGAGTGTAATGATGGATCAGATATATGGTCTGTGATGTTGCAAAGATTCAAAAGTAAATGCATGCATTACTGGAATCAGTGGACCTTATTATTTTCCAACCCAGTTTGACACTAAATGTGGGCTTTCTGTGCATAGATGTAGGTTTTTCTTGCCAACATGGGTGCTCAGGGATTTTCATGACCAAATCATTGACCTTAATTCTCCAGCTGGCAAGTGGGTGCTATGGAGACACTCAATAATCACTGCTGGACACATTCAGAATTTTTTGTATGATGTATTTACAAATAAAGTGATTCTAATTTTGCAAAAAGCAGGACTGAAAAGAGCTGCAAAAGCAGGCTTGATTCAAAATAACTCTTCCTAGAAGTGCACTGTGCACAGAAGGGCATGTGTGTAATATTGAGAAGAACCGCACATAGACAGAGCGAGTATGTAGAAAGAAGGTAAGACTGTGAATATGCCTAAGCGTGCCTTAGAGTGTGTGAATGTGTATGTACAGTGTGTGTGCATACCTAAAGAATACAGTACGTGAATTAATGCACGTTCTTGCAGAGTGCTGTTTTCTCTTTGAGGTTAGCCAGAGTGGTTAGTGAATGAGTTCAGGTTTTTTGCCTTCCAGTAAGTCTTGTTTTCATTCTGACACTCTGCAAAAAGCTTCACGTCCTTCAGATCAACAAATGAGCCAGGTGTGCACGTGCGACTGTGGTGGTTTGTGAACAGTGCAGTTACATAATGGGAGCCACAACCTGTCATTCGTTCTTGTAAAGAGCTAATGAAGATCCGAAAATATGATGCACCCTCAGTTTTGTTTAGTCAAAGCGTCCATTGTTCATCGTTTTTTTTTTTTTTATTGTGCCCAAGCTGAGAGTTTTGATAATGCTTTATTTTATGGGGTCCTAATAGTTTGCCAAGAAAGGGTTTAATGTGTAACTGTTATCTCAAGAGAATTTTCCTGGAAAGGACCGAGCAATTTGATTCTGACATATCAAATGATAAATTACTGTAAGCTGTAAGTAATTTCATAAAGCCACTGTCTAGATCTATTTAATCTCTCTATATAGATATCTAAAAAATAAAAAATACATAATATAAAAATAAATGTGTGTCACTATAGTTAGTGAATATGAATGAATTACTTACAACTGCATTATGAGAAATTTGATGCCTCATAAGGGAAAAAAAAGTTTTGGTGGAAATTTCTATTATAATGAATTTGGGAAATTTTCTAGTGCTATTGAAGCCCAGTTCTCTTGTCCACATCGAATAAATGTTATAAAAAAAAAAGTCCACATCATTGTACAGTGCTCATGTATTCTGTTTCAGTTGTTAGATAATGATATATTGTAATTGACTGATAATCTGAGGGATATCGAGTCACAAAGAGAAGTCTATTAAATCCAATACAAACAAACATTTGGCTCTTGTTTTCAAGTTACCAGCAATCTAGAGATAGACATCCTGTCCACATGCTGCCACAGCGTGTTTCCTTACAATATGAGGATATTCCAGCAGAGCTCTGCTGAACTGCATAAACAAACTAAAACACTCCGCGGAAAGCCATGCAAACCAAAATGACTCTACAGCTTTAACTGAAACAGGGAAGTGGCTGAGGTAAACATGGCAGTCACCTGACAAACGGTCAAAAAAAAAACAAAAAAACAATCACATCAAAAATTCTACCCAGTCACACTTGCCAAAATGTAATGTCTTCTGTACTGTCATGGTTCAACAGTGAAAAGAAAACAAAAAAATCTGGCTTTCTGATTGTGGACATATTGAGGAAAAAACAGGCAGGGTGCCATTTGATGGTGAAGGAGGGGGAGAAAAATGGAGGATGAAAAAGGGTGCTGAGTGTGAGGTGGTGGATTAGTCATGATGACCCCGTGAGTTACATTTTCTCTGCATGCCTCACATGGCGGGGGGGGGCAAAACTAGAAAGAACAGCTGAGAAAGCACAACACAAGCAAAACACATCTCTCTCTCACTTCACAGGCACCATAACATTCCACATCCCCAGTGCCAAGAAAAAAAAACTTTCTGCTTGTGAACACACCAATCATGACGGAGCTAATTTAAACTACACCGCTTATAAATGACAGCTGTAACATCATACTTTTCTAAATCTGTGAACAGATGATTAGATCCAACATGTACCACATAATCATGAGCTCTTGTAATTGCCTGTAAGGAAGAGAGCCATAGGCAGATTGGCTAAAACAGGCAGATGCAAAAAACTAGGGAAACCCCACATGCAATGACATCACTTTCTTGTGTATAAAGGCCATCCTGTGTAGTTTGTTCTTGAAATCCCCCCCCCCCCCTTCAAATTAAAATTAAACATTCTTCTTTTTTCCACAGAGCCCTAACACTCATTGACACACCTGGACGCAAACATGAAGTGAAACTCGTATGTGTCATTTGCCTTTGTGTGTCTACTTGTGCTTCCCTTCTGTTGCTGATTGTTAAATACAGTACAAAGTGTATGTTAACAGAGATGTTTGGAAATTTGAGTGTGCAACAAATGTGTACAAATTAGTCTAATACAGCTTCAAAACGGACATCAAAAGCTTGCAAAGGACTAACGTCACCTGGGACTGTCCTATGATTTTTGACTGAAGTGACTGTTGATGTGATAATTACTAAATATCCAGAAAACACTATTTCTGAAAGTGTTCTTCTGCCAGCCACATAATAATGTGCACCTGTAAGAACCTAACTTAATTTGGCAAAACCTTGCTTAACATTAACTTGAATTAACTGTAAAATGTAACCTTGAGCTTTTATCAAATTCTTAGGCTACAAGAGACAAATAACAGCCGCTGAAGGAAAATCCCTCGATGTGAAACTTATTTATAGTATGTTGTTTTAAAGTGGATTCTTCAACATTTGTATTTCACATTTGTACTTTTTCATTAGAATTAATGAAATGTAGAATTTATTAATATCACATTCAAGTCTTGTGGATGCTGCATTAGATGTGTGACTAAAATAAAATAACCTGCATGAAAAGCGATAATTTTAATGCTTGCTTGTGCTTGTTCCATTCAATGGGTTTCATTATCCAGCAATGTGAATAAGTGGTTTTATTTATAGAAAATTAATACTGGTTCAGTATAAGTGTGTAATTTTATACTGTAGGATGCCACTTCAGTTTCTATTTCAATTTAGGGTCAACTCACCCTAAGTACAGTTGGGTCCAAAAGTCTGAGACCACTTTCCTATTCAAGTGAATGGTAAAGTGGTCTCAGACTTTTGGGCCACATATTTTCCAACTTACACCAAGTGGTATCTACCTACACAGACAGCAGTAGTTTCAGTTTTATCTACTGGGATTTTGCGATATTTTTCTCAGAGATGCTGATCTGACACAAATGGAATTTTATTTGTGGTCCTCATAGCACTTAAACCTAAACAGGAACTTGTCTTTCCAGAATAAAGCAATGTCTAGGTTACTTTGGATAATCCACAGACTCACTGTCAACCCTTTTTGTCAGAACTACTATTAGTGTGTTTACTTAAACTCACCCCTGCTCTTTCACCAAGAAATAAACTTAACACAATTTGAATTTGTGGGGACATAAAATCCAGGTCAGGTTTAAAGAGATATAATAAGAAAAATGTATTATACAGTGAGAAGCTTTAGAAAACACATATTCAAGGCAAGAAGTGCCTCTCTTATTATTTACTGCTTTGGCCTTATGTTGAACCAAGAAAAACCCAGTTTGCTATGCCTTTTCTACTGTCAGACCGGCTAATCATGAGGGAGATACTGCCAGTCCGCTTGGTAACCCATGACTGCCTTTCTTTAAAACTCATCATCATAGCATATTGTGTTTTAATATGGTTCCATAATGGCACTCATCAGCTCAGCCCAAATAGGCTTCAGATTAGAAACTCACTGGTCTGTGTCATTACAATTGGCTCCTATTCATACAGTGCTAACCATAAGGACTTGGCTGGATGGGCACAAAAGTGCACAGAAATAGAAAATGCAAATGATGGATAGTAACCATCTGGAATGGTGGGGTAAATATGCAAGTGAGTATAAGGCTGAACCTCTGTTTGACTGTCCACGTCTAAGCATTTCCCATCCAGAAATGAATGTCCTATTCTTATAGTTTTATCTCCGGGGATAATAATCCTCAAGACACAAAGTTCCAGACAACATATCTCACTTTGAGGAGTCATTCCAAGCATGACTGAAAATTGCGTCGATTTCTGAAGATGCAGTGTGGAAGTGTAGAAGAATTACAGTGTTAAATTACAGTGTCTTATTAATGACATGCCTTGACAGGAATGGGGCAGGTACTTCTGCAGTCGTCTAGACAACACTAGGCTTTAATCAGGCTGCTCTATGGTAAATTAAGCTGAGCTGAATACACACAGAAGACAAGATGAAAGCAGTGGGTGGGAGCCATGGTAAATTGTGTCTGAGTAGGTATGAGTGTTTTCATAGTGGCTCTTGTAGGCATTACACCGTGTGTGTGTGTGTGTGTGTGTGTGTGTGTGTGTGTGTGTGTGTGTGTGTGTGTGTGTGTGTGTGTGTGTGTGTGTGTGTGTGTGTTACTTTAACACAAATACAAATATACGAACATGCACACCAGACATACAAAACCAACCTGGGGGAAATCTCCATTTCTAGGGAGGTTGAGGCTGGAAAAGTCTACGTCAGAGAATCCCGAGTACATGTCCATGTGCACATCCGGAGTGGTGGTGGTAGTGCTGCTGTTCAAGTGGTATTGCCTATGGGTGAAAGAAGAGGTTTAGTGTTTTTAACTGCTACGTACCAAAATAAAAGTGACACATGCCTCATACAAATTTACACCTTACAATCAGCAAGTACAGACACAGCCTTCTATTAATGTGCAATAAGCTGCTCCAGTAGAGAAATGAAAGTGGCACTAAAAAGCATCTTGTGTGATCAAGCAGTCATTGGCACAGTCAAAACAGTTTTAGACGGTGATCTAGTGCTCTTAAAGCAAAAATATGGTGATCTAACACTATATTACAACAATACATCCTGTTTTAGCAATTCTGACACATTACACAAACTTAACAGGTGACAACACTTTCAGTTTTGTTTGCTGACGACGCTCCAATCACTTAATTATGGAATAAGCTGATGCCAGAGTGGAGTGAAGCTATAGGCTCTTGTACCGTTCTAAATCAAAGTACCAAAGAATGAATAATTGAAAATATAGTATATCAGTGAAATATAAAATAACAATGACAGAAACACTTACACATAGGTCCAACATGGCAGAAAGAGGTAAAGGTTTGAAAAGAAAGTCAAGGGATAAAGAGTAACAACTGCTCTGACCTGCGTGAAGATCCAACATCCACCTTCTGTTAAAACCAACCATTTTGCTTTAGCCCAGTGTTGCCAGTTATCAGAAACGAGTCTACAGACCTCATAATGAGATATTTTCAGTTTCTTGCTGAGTACAAGTCGTCATAATGTAACAACCCACTATGCTGATAGTGAAGGTAAAATGAAAGCAAAACCAAAGCTTTGTCAAGGTGGAACTGTAACTGCACCTTCCCATGTTCCTCTCATCCAATCATGTGCCAGGGCTCAGGCTCAGAGGAAATGAGCTTGGCCAAAGCTATTCACAGGATTTGGCTCTGTGTGCTCAAGCACGGGCCAGAGATCAGTGAGACTGATTGATTTAAGTTCAAAACACACCAAGGGAAAGAGTTGCCCTAAGCCAGTGTGTAGAATCAAGTCTATAAAAACATGGTTCCTGTGATTATTTTTCCTTTTTGAACAACAACATGCTGCAAGATTCAATATTTAATTATTTCCATGTTCTATTTTTAGTGAGTTTCTATTGTAAAGAATCTCTACGTCATCTTTTAGAGAACCGCATATATCACTGGGCCACAGTACAAACAGCAGTTTTTTTAATTAGGTTTATGCTCTAATAGTGATCACTGATGCACAAATTTATGTTGAAAGAAAAAGTGTCAAACCTTCGGTGGAAACTTTTGGTTTCCATAATCATGCAAATAATGAATGTTGCCCGACACAGTGAAAAAATAAAGGCCAGGGTAACCGTCATAATCATCAGTAGGGGTGTAGTGATTCTCCAAAATCACCTTTTTTTAACAAACCAAAATGTTTCCATGCTGCTGACTTGAATGTGCCGTGGTTCCGCAGTCTTGCACTCATTACACAAACCTAACTTTTACTTCAGGCACAATCACTTGACCATGACTGGACTAAAATAGTCATGTGAAACACGCAGTTGGAAGACAACAAAACAGGTGTCATGTGTAATATTTGCAAAATATACAGCTTGTCCTAACTTTAACTAAAATAACGATTTTGTGATTTACATATTACATTATGATGTTAATTGTGAGATGAAAAATGTGTTTTTTTTAGTCATTAGTCATGTAATTAGAACTCAACAGGGTGCACCTGCAGCAGTGGCAGTAGTACAAAAATAAACTATATTCATGAGTGATGATTATAAACTAGAAAAAGGGTCATGAGCTCATACTGGTTAATAATCGTTTAGTTCTCAGAAAGATCATAGCAGATTGAATGGTAACAATCATCCACACTGGAAATCCCCTTCCTGGCCCCTATAGTCAGCAGTGATATGACAGTGATATTATTACAGCAGAGGTCTGGGCAGGCTGGCATCAGCTGCTTTCCAACAGCAAAAAGCGGCTCTTGGCCAAAGGAGGTGATTGACTTACTGTTTGTGTACATAGCCTTCCCATACTACACAGTCAGTGGTTGTGTACAGATCATCACATGAACCTTATTATTGTTGCACAATCTTTTATTTGAGGCTAAAAGCATATTGGCCATGTAACAATGTTGTTTTTAGACATTTGGCTTCCATCAGTGAAGTTTACAACGATACCAGGTTATCTGACATCTGGTTGGAATGATGTTTATCAATGATAAAGTAAATAATGGCCATAATTACAGACCTGAAGTGTCAGAACAACATTGTAATTTCAAACATTAAAAAGTGGCTCAATCATTAAGTTTTACAATGCAGCCCAGCCGGAGAGCTGCTCTTCAACATTCTTTAAACACACTAACAGCTACAGCTGACTACAGTAGGACTTGAAATAGCTTAGAAAACAAATTATAAAATATTAATATACATTATAAAATCATTCTTTACACCTTATATTAGCATAAGTGAAGGACTTTGACCAGAGCAGATTTACTTGGAAAGATTCACTTTAAGTGACTGTAAAAACAAAGACACACATGACCAAGTGATGCAAAATTCCACCTAATGTCAATACATCTATGTGTTTGTGGACACAGAAATAGAAAGAGTATTATGTCAGTGCTTTTGCCAATTAAGAAAAAGTGAGAATTACTCTGATAAAATGTGATTTTTCAGTTCAGGTTTTATGTTTGATTTTTAAATGCTATGAACTTCTTACTAAAACAAAACCTTGTCCTTATATTCATATAAGCAGCATGACTGTGGCAAGTTTTGTTTAACTTAAACTGATTTCAACAGTGTTCACTAAAAGACAAAGGTTTGTTAAAAGTGACCATGAGAAAAACAAAACCCCTTTCACAGTGATTATCAACGGTTTAATGCTCCTTCCACAGATGTTTATCAAAGAGTTTACTGAACAACTTGATGCTAAACAGTAAACAGTGACATCAGTAAGTAACCAACTGCAAAGATTCCTTGGAAGAACGCTTCCTTACAACCAACACACCCATGAAATTTAACTCTCACGCTATCAGCAGAGTGCAATAAGCGAACTTTGGTCATAGCACTGGGAAACACTCCAGTCTGGCGGCCGGCAGTATCAACAGCAAATAACACAGAGACGACAGGCAGCAGGTTAAACGTAACTTTGGAGAAGGGATATCAAAAAGCTCACCTTGAGCTTCATTTGACTCATCTCACTGTCTCATTGCATCAAAAGGAAAATTGTAAAAGAAAGAGGCTCTGGTTTTTCTACAGAAAAACTCTTTGAAATGTGGTCTATAGTGGGTTCCTGTCTCACAGAGCTATGTTAACATTAAGTACTACAAACAATCTGAGCTTTCAAGACTGATAACTCAAGACCATCTCAGCGTCAGACATATACAAGGCATAAAATAGAATCACATCAGTGGTCTGTTTCTCAGTGGTCTGTTTCTTATTTTTCAGCTATAAATGGATATCCAGGTTCAGCTGTGTGGGACAGACTGAATCACACAAACTCTTACTGCTGTTTGCTGAAGATATTCAAAAACTGGCTGTTATTTTTAGAGGTTTTTACATTAAACAGTTTTTTTTTTTTTTTCCTTTTTTTTTTGCATCAGCTAACATGTGCAGTGTGATCTGATAGTGACATATTCTTCCTTGTTCTGGCTCTGTAATCAAGGACACTGGATTAAAAGGTTTGAAAATATTAACATCCAGACCAAAACCAGTGAGACATGTACATAGTTATAGTATGGGAATGGCAGAGCATCACTAGGGAAGATACCAAGGATCTAGTGATGTGTATGGGCTGTAGACTTAAATTGTTGACTCAGTTCAGTTGATGTTGATACCAATATACAGTATCTGTGATAGTCAAACAAAATACAAGGTGGGAACAGAGAGAATACATTATTATACATTTTAGCATGTTGGAGGCCAATCACATTCACTACGCCTCCCCTTTAAACATAGCGCTCTTCCCGCCATGATGCACTGACAATTTGGGAGAGGTTTCCTTAGAGGAACAGCGAAGGCAGTTGTAGCATTTAAATGCAGAATTTGACTGCTAGCAAAGACAACTAGGTCAGTGACACTTGTAATTTGTTATCTAAGTTGCATTCACCACTGGTGGTCATGACCAATAAGACCCAATGAGGAAGCGACTTTGTCTACGTCATCGTTTCCATAGGACTCAGTTTCTGCTTGTCCGGACTACAATGCAACCCCTGAGTTTTTTCATTAAAAACTTCCAAACAACGTCTATCACATCATGTTGGTCCTGTACTATGATTAAAAATTTGGATGGAGACACTAGGAGAGGATTGGTAAGTAGAGATAGGTACTATGTACCAATGAAGGTATGTTTCAATTGAGACTGTGTAGACTGTTTTCACAGAATCAGTCCCCAACACCCCTGCTGATTTACACTGTAGTTACAACTGTACAGAATAAATCATTGAAACCACAAAGTTTGATGTTAACATAAGCACAGAGGTTTCTGTGGTTATTTTGCAACAGTCTTGTGCTGGGTCCACAAAACCGAACCAGTGGTTGAACCACTGGGTCTGCTGTGTGCAAATGTGAAATGACAGTGCACATAATCAATTAGTTTCTGCAGAATGAACAGATACCTTCTGCCTTCAGGCGGCTGGAAAGGGCGTCACTATTGTAAAGGAAAGGCCATCAGCTTAGGCTGCAAGCTGTTATTGGATGACAGGTGGTGGTCAAGAGTCACTCATTATTATCTTCTGTCTCACTGGCATTAATGCCATAACTGAAATAAAACTTTATTTTTTCTGTGTGATCATCTTACCAATGAAAATGGAAAGATGATCAACACGTGAATAAAGAGATTTGTGTGATCTTATAGGGGTGTATACTGTATGTGTGCCTTCACCAAATAAAGTGACAAAATATTACACAGGTGCAAACACAGGTGCGCTGAGCTGTTGACCTGAGCAGGCAGGCAGCGGCCTGCATGACAAGCAGTTATCCTTGGCACCAGGATTGCAGTGTGCTGCTTGATTGGCAATGGCACACCCTCTGCTGTGTCTCTCCTCCCAGTGGGGTGCATGGCGACTCACCAGGACGAACAAGCGCAGGCGAGGAAATAACGTTGGTACACGCCAGGAAAATGCCAGTTCGTTGGTGTGGAGTTGCACTCTTCGCCATGTGCGAACCCCAAAAATAGAGCCCTTCTGTCAGACACATTACTAAGGGGGTTTACACAGTCATCTGGACACTTGACAACAGGATTTCCCAGGCTTTTCTAGTCAGTTGCCCCAAATTTTAAGTCCAGATGACCCCATGTGAGTTCCCAGCTCCGAGTTTGAGAAACTGCCTTGTATCATGCAAAACCAACATCTCAACGATACCTACAGAGTTGATTCAACAGCTCTTTGACAGTGTCAGCGTAAGTCATATATATATATATATATATATACTACTATTCACTAAGAAGTGAAGAAGTGTCATAAAAAGCATGACTAAATATCAGAAATACTGAACTGAGTGAAGAAAACAGTTGTAGAGTAATGACAAGAAGAGATGCAAAAACTGGAGCTTTAAGACCTCTGTCCTGTTTCCTTGGTCAAACTAATAGTGGAGATAAAAAAAAAATTGAAATTATAAAGAGTGACCTCATGATCAGAGTCCTGGTTCTTTGTTATAAGAACTCAAAACATGTCTGCTACAGGACAAAACATTTACTGACAGAAAATAATACTGAATTGACACCTTTTCAAACCACGTTGTTCTGTCTAGATGAGGGTCTTTACAACAGAATAATCTTGTAAAACCAGCTTGATGTCAGAAATTTCCACTTTGAGTGAACCTGAAAACCCCAGACTGTACTCTCACGTCATCTATAACAATACAAAACACCACTGCTAGAAAAAACACCTCCTGAGTTATGTTTAGTCTGACACATTTGGGGATGACTACATTTTCAAATTAATTTTTGAAACATGAAAGGTTTTTCTGTAAGTTAACTACAGAATCACAAAAGAGACACTTTATGTAGATATCAAACCCACACAAATCTCAAATGTAGTCCATGCATCACGGTACAGCTGGGATACATACAGGTAGACGTTCACAGATGTGTGTCATCATAGTTTCAAAATCTTTTGACAAAAACATGACATTATGTAGTTACTGCACAGCCCTACAGGAGACACACTACCTCTTACAGTTCATAGCTGATATTCACCATTCACAGATGCTGCAACACACCAGCATTACACGACAATATCTTTTCCATGACGTGTTGTTTAAATGTCAATGACATTGAATTAAATTCTCTTTCCTAATAGAAATCCCTGTCCACCAAGGCTGGGCAAAGTTCAGACCAACATCCAAGCCCTGCTACACTGAAGCCAGGTAGGAAAACGTGTTGAACATTTGCTGTGTTTTTCTACTACCCTGACTGTGTATTGGGCTGTGATCTCTGTAAAAAACCACAGTAATGCACAGTCTACTGTGGCTCAACGGATGCAGTATAGAAACTGACAAGGATTGCAGCTGCTGCTGCATGGTTGACAAGCTGCTTACTCTACAAGGCCAATGTAGACAAGGTGTTGCACAGCCCTTGATACACACACACACACACACACACACACACACACACACACACACACACCTTATGGTTGAGGAAAGAGACGAACACCTCTCATTGAGCGGTGAAGTCATAAAAACAGAGCCGAGTTGCAAGATGTTGCGATTAACCCCCCCTAGTGAAGCAGATGTCAGCCCGCCCTCTACAGGAAATGAACGAGGTCAGATAAAGGAGACCATCCCCAATGACGTGAGCTGGTTATTTAGTGTCAGGTTAAAAAGTGATGTATTGACCAGATTGTATTTGGACACTCCAGGTGTCAGCAATGCAATAATGGGATCATATCAACTCTAAAAAATAAGTCAACATAAGATTTCAAATGTCTGCAACATTTCGGCCCCACTGAGACAGTTTTAAATTATTTCAATCAGAGGAGAAAACTTAAGATGGGCTGGTGCACCGGCATTTAATATTGCAAAGCATCACATCAATCATTGGACACAACGCCTTATATTAACTCAACTAAGAGGGAAGCAGCATCACCCAGCTTCCACTTCAAACACTAACCCACACAGTTATATATTTATCTTCAGAAAAGCTCAAATACAAGTATAACTAGCAACATCATTATTTTCTATTCTTTATATCTATATTAGTTCTATGATAATATAGTCTCTGTTGCAAGATACACAACTATGAATTTATCATATTTGTCCAGTGTAATATGACTATAAGAGTGACTATAACAGCCTGTATTGCATGTAATGAATTAAATTTCATTTTATTTTTGCAACTCTGTGTCCTATTAAGATCCACACATATAGAGGAAGTATATTTGTTTGTTATATTTATTTGTTATATGGATGTGGCTGTCTCAGATAATAATGCATTTGTCAAACATGCACGCCATTACCAAAACCTTCATAAGACACCCACAACACAAACATCATGCTCACAATAACTACAGTTGGGACATTTTGCTATCTCATGCGTGAAACTCCTGTGGGTAGTTATCGCCCATTTCCAACGGTTTACAGACCTCATCTAAAGAATCTGTCGTCTGTTGTGAACACTGAACATGGTACTTGTTATGGAACAATCTCTTTAAGACTCTCAACCGCCATGTATGTACCAGTGTACAGCGCATAAAGTTACTTCAAAGACACTGTGTCTTTACTTGTGATGTTTTCAGTTGATATTCTCTCATTCTTAGCTAATGGTAATACAAGGTATTGTATGTTGTGTGAGCTCATATACACTTACTGGTTTCCAGATTGCATAGGGCAGTGTATGCTGTATCCAGCCTGCTGAGGAAAGGATCCCCAGGATCCAGGGGACGCATATATTGAACTCTAAAACACAAAATGAAAATCTGTCACACTTTGTAAAAAGTATAAAAATAACAAATAACAAATAACAAAGCTCTTTTATAACTTTAAAACATGAACAACACATGCTCTATGTGTTTGTCACTCCAGTGGTGTATCTTCTAGCAAAACTATCAGCAAAAACTAGATGGTATCAAACTACATTTGATATTTTCAAAAGAGAATACTATTACCACCATTACACCGGTGCATTCTGCCATGCACTATGGTGAAACACTATGCACAGGATGTTCAGATAAACATCTCTGCTCCACATGGTCTTCGGAATACCACATGTAACTGATGTCAGAGAGTATGCTGACTTCATTTTGATTCAGTGTAATTGTGTGAGCCCTTAAATGGTCACTTCAGGCAAATTACAAAACACTTATCCTTAGAGGCAGAGTGTTTCAGTTATATGTGGTTAGTTTGAGAATTTCTGTCATTAGCTCATTACAGTGGGGGTCAATAGAATTTTGTTTGCTGTGCTCAAATTCTTTGGGGACTATTTGATAAGGAATATTTTAAATTTAATCTGAATCTAAATGTACTTTTTCAACACTGTGAGCACCAAAAACAAAATTCCATTTACCTTCATGGAAAATATTAAAGTCGCAGTAGGAATCTCAGATGGCAAATATCTCAAAACCTTGGCACATAAAACTCCCTGCATGCTTTGATACCACTAGGGATAAGTGAGAAAATTTGGGTGACATGACCCCTTAATACTTGGTCTCTTCTACATGGGAAACGGAAAAGAATTCATTAACAGCTGTGCCTGGCAAATAATACCACAAGTAGGATCACTTCCTTTCTCACATATTTCTAGATGAGTGCTCTACCACAGAGACGTCACATACACCAGTGTTCTGATGAATAGTAGTAAATATTTGACGTGTTGTGTTTTTAAATTTAGGTACAGCTGAAGTATATTTACCCATAAGATAGTGGCGAAAGTGTACAAAGAAAAAGCCTATATGTTCAAGCTAGTTTAAGTTTGTAGGCATGTCATTCAACATGGTTATATTCAACACTCCTAAGAAAAAATGCATTGCTCAGCAGTTATTACATAATTAAATCTATTTAAGCACAATCTTTTGGGATTGCTGAAGTGACCCCTGGCAAATTTAAAATTATACTCTACTAACATTTTCAACAAAAAAGGCTTTTACTTTCAACAAAGTACGACACATATCCTATAGCAAGAGCATGTAAACCTAAACTAACCTGCCCCAATCTACTTTAAGGAATTTATTTCACCTCTATAAAAATGAGCTCATACAAAAGGGAGTTATCAAAAATGTGATTTGAATTGCATTTAAAACACAACCCATGAAAGTTAAGTGAATATGCACATGAATGCAAATGAATGTAATAATATACCTCCATGTTAGAGGCGGCCACAGAGAACAAGCTGCTGTCCAGCTGAGGGCCCTCTGGATGCAGGTAGTTCTCCCCGTCCATGGCCAGCGCTGAGGGGAGGGTGGGCATCAGACCACAGCTTCACACATGACCACCAGCTGACTTAGGCTACGCACCCTCTGACCGCCACCCACGTGCTGGCTATGTCCTAGGTAGTACTTCTAACAAGGGCAAATGCTCTCCATGACCTGAGGATGACAGGGGAGATGGAGGGGATGTAGGGGAAAGGGAGAAACATAAGAATCGAACAAGCGAACATGGTGATCAATATCAATACCACATCAAAATACTGCACACATATAAAAACATGTGGAAAAAGTAACTAAGTCTAGTAACTGCTAGACCTCAATGGCTTATTTAACTGAAAAGAAATAAGAGAAAGTACAAAGACATACATTTAAAAAATTAGTGTGGCTAATCTCACTTCTTTTAGAACACATCCTAAATAAAACTGTCCACCTGCATTATTATATTATCATAGAACATTGAAAGAACTGTAACACTGGTCTACAATGGAAAGAAGATAGAAGTGCATTTTATGTAAACAGAATATTACAGAACAAACAACAACACAGAAGTGGTCTAAGAAAGTGTATTAAGTCTGCCACAGAATAAAAATATAAACACACACAAGTTAATTTCACAAGAGAAATATAATAAAATCCGAATAAATGTTTGACAATAACAAATTACTTTTATCTTATGAAGCACATTAGACAATTGGTCTTCCACTTCAAGACTGATTCTAGCTGCCTTTGTCACAACACAAACTGAATTTAGATCGTATTCATAATGCAGAGTGCAAGCCTTTATTCTCACTGATTGACAGCCCTCATTAGCTGGTTGTCATCTGACATCACTGAAGCTTCCACATTTATTGGAGAACCAATCGAAATCACCACAGGAGCTATACAACAGTGTGAACCATATGGGCTACAGATATGTTGAAAACCTAGACTAAATGTTGATACAGCTATAGCTGCACAATTCTATACATTTTCAGAGCCGTAAAGCATAATCAGGCAGTTAGTATAGTATGCACTCACGAGGCCCATTTCTGTCACGAACAGCTATGTGTGTATGCGTGTTTAACAATTCAAGCAGTGCGTGTCCGATATAATGACAAGTTTGACTGGCTAGACCAGACTGTCTGGCAGAAGACTTCCTGCAATGCTAACAGGTTCCCCACTCCTGTATCTCTTCTTCTCATACACACAACAATCATGAATTAGAAAAATGAAAATGATATATGATGGCAGGGCAGAATTTGTAAGTAATATTAGTATTTACAGATATCATGATTTCCCTATTTAATCTGTCTGAGTAAATTAGACATGCTTTCCTATAATTGGGAAACTGACCACAACGACCTGCTTTGTTCTGATATGGGTTCACAGAGACCAAATAACCCTGAGTCAAAAGCTGGCATCTTGTACTTCTGCTGCCTACCTCTGCTGAGGTTTGATGAAAATATAAATTGGACTAATGTGCAGGAGGTGAGGTTCATCTCACTACCCCAGTACATGCAAACAATAGATCTGCACAATATATTAAAAAAAACATAACTGCATTCTGCTTCTTTCAGATTGAAAGCTTAGCAGATATCCCACAAATCTCACCAGTTTGACAGCTGAATCAATCCAATCTTTCAGCACTCCACAATGCACATCTGTGTAATGTCAGTAACACTCCCTTGCCCCAAACTAATCAAACTGTTACCTTCCTTCCACTCTCCCTTCCTTCATTCCTTCCTCCAGTTTGCCCCCAATATGGAACATAGGCCAGACGTGTTCACTGGGGACGAAGCTGAGGTAATAAATCCTAATAGAGTTCATGAGGGTCTAAATAAGAGGGCCTTTGTGTGTCTGGGTGTGTGCATGTGAGTGTGTGAGTGTGTGTGTGTGTGTGTGGGGGGGGGGAGAGGGGGGGGCGGAGAGAGGGAGAGAGAGACCTGACCTAACATATTCACCACTCACATAGCCAATACACACAAAGGGAGGCCATTTTACCCTCAGGCTGCCAGTGTGATACTGTCTGGATAAGGGTGAAGCAAATGTGGGGAAGCCAAATGCAGAGATCAACTGGCAAACTTCCTAAGCAGGAGGTCTTAAGGACAGGGATACTAGATATTTTTTGAATATCAATAACCAGCTCTGAGTCTCTGAGTCCAGATGAAAGCAAGACAGCTTGTGTTAGACTTGAAAGCCTTGTGAAGCCTCTTTAGTGTTGCAGAACTGTACTGAATGAAACACCCTAAGGACACTGCAGGCTTGGCTGTAGCAACGGTTCTTAAATGTCTTACAAGTTCAATTTAGGTCAAAGGTTAAATAGCCAAAACTAATCCCTGGTGCTCTTGAAGTATTATTTTACGCCTTTATGGTGACCACGGCTAAATGCATATTTGTAGTGAATATGAGTGGATTAATGTGCAGTACTCAACCTGGGTTAATAATCCTACATTAGCCCAACTTTACCTGGGTCTCAAGTTTCTCGGCTTAAACAACTATCTAACCGCTTTCAAATAAAGAGAGGAAGAAAATAGAGTGACGGAAAGAGAAAGCAAGCTTATAAGTGGGTGAGCAAGAGAGAGAAACTAAAAAGAAATTGATACAATTATGTCATTCTATTGAATTCTGTGGTTTCAGTGATGTTTATGAAACTAGAGTTGTAGATTCAAATACCTGAACAATGAATTATTCCGTGATAGCGGTGTGAAAGTACATTCAGTAGTGGATGTCATAGTTTTTGGTATGAAAGGAGCATTTCAGGAAGCTCACGTTAAAGTCGAAATCTATAATTGCCCAGTAGTATAGTACTATCACTCATTCCCCCTACCACCCACAGACAACAGTATTATGCCTCTTACTGTCTCTTAGCAACAGAAAAAATGTCTGTCTTTTGCTGTCCCCTCTTCCCTAACTCCCAGCCCTCCAGTGAGCCTCTGAGGATAATCGATACTGATCATTGCAAGAGCGGTCCCAGATATCCCCTTCCTGTAAGGCCCCTCATTACCGGAAAACAGCAAAACCCCCTGCTACTCCTAACCTCCACAGAGGAAGAGGGAGGTGATGAAGAAAGCTATCAGCTGGGATAAGAGGGCTGGAGTTAAGGGACAAAGAAAACAAAAGATACAGAACGAGACATGCCCACTGTGGCGCAGGGTAGTTCATTCAACAAAAATCAGCACACACACCATTTTTATAACCCTGTATGGTTGTAACCTCAACCAAGAAGGTTATGTTTTTGTCCATGTCTGCTTGTTGGTTTGTTTGTTTATTTGTCAGCAGAATTATGCAAAAAGTAGTCAAACAATTTGCACCAAATGTGGTGGAGGGATGTGGCATGGGTCAGGGAAGAACCTATTAAATTTTGGGGTAGATCGAGATCATTTACTGTGAATTTGAATTTTCTTATTTTAAGTTTGGTGTATGTTGTTGGGTATTGGCCTTGGTGGAGGTCTGCACTCTCTGGGTCCTCTGCCAACTTAAAAATATGTCGTCTTTGTCAATATTTGAATTTACAGCCTGTATGAAGACTGCCAAGTCAAATGTGTGTCCTATACGGTGAAGAGGAAAAGGCAGTTTTTAAATAAGACACAAGCCCTAATGCTCTGTTATTAACCAATGGAGAGGGAGAAAGAAAAAGAGGGGGGAGGGGGGGATAAGCACTCTTTTGGAGTGTAATCTTTTAAATCTGTTAATTACTTGAAAGGTTGCTGCTGGTTTTTGTGCAGTTACCTCCCATGCATGTCTCTCTCTCTCTCTCTCTGGGTGGCCTAATGCAACAGCTCACTGCAGGGCGATTAGGCCATTTCATATGCAGCAATTGTACAATGCTTAAAAATTGAAACAAGCCAATATACTATGCGCTGGACATGCAGAAATGGACAGACTGTGTGTTATATCTCGGAAGATGGACTAGAATGCAAACAAGGGGGTTTGGTCGAATTAGACACTGTGTGGCTACATTCTAGGCCATCGGTTCCCCTAGGCTGCGTGAGTCACTGTGCCTGTCAGCCAGACAGAGGTTAACAAGCAGCACAGCTCTGTCACTTCAAAAACACAAGATGTGTGTTTACTATGTGTGTTGTTAGTTACAGCACCCAACATGTGCTTGGCAGTACATTAGGTGAGAACTAAAAATGCAGTCTGTGGTGGACTCCCTGGTAGTATGCTGGTGGCCTTTACTAAATATCAGTGGCTGCCAGAGCACATGGGGATCATCCAGGGAAGTGTGACTTCCTTAAGCTGCTAAGTCATGATTAACGCTCACGAGGAGAACAACCACCCTGCCTGGCGTGTGTGCCATCTCACTCGCAAATGGAGACTCACATGTGGAGTGTTGATATACAAATAATATTTCCACGTCCGCAACTAATTACCATTTGTGTGTATATAATAGAATAAGGCTGTTTTTCTCGTCATGTACAACTTTACCCAGTAGGCATTTAAGTAATTAAGTAGTAAAACACATACATGTATTGGCTATTGAACACATGAATGCATGCATGTGTCCCTTCAAATGCTGTGGCAAGTGCATTGCTAAAAGGGAATGTATGACAGGGAGAAAATGCAGAACTTTCGCTAAGGTCGAGACAGAAGCATAGTCTTTATCTCACTTCCTTTTGTGTCCCCATCATTAGTTCATTTTCTTGAGGTTGACACTTAGCAGAAAGCAGAAAAATCAAGGCTCATTCTTTTAACCTCACCCCCTGTCCTGTTGACCACTATGTCCTCATCGTCTCTCACATGTATTCCTTTTACTAGTCACACTCATCTCATTGCTTCTCTTTGGCAGGGTACTAAATCCTTCTTAAGGTTCTCTGAAAATCCTTCAACACAGCTCGGCTTCATCATCATTAACCACATTCTCAAAATCACCTACATGCGGCACAAAGGGTGTCAGTGACAAGAGGCATTTTAGCCAAATTTACACTGGCCATTTAACTGTTTGCACGTATGTGTGTGACGCTGATCAAAAGCTCATGTATTTTTTAATTACATGTATAGGTGAGTATATCGTTGTGCTTGTCAAATGCTACAACAGCCATGTGCAGCAGTACTAGCTGAACTGATCCAGTGCACACGGCTTTTGCTGCTGTCCTGCTGAACTTCTGCTGTCACTGCAATGTCAATGTGGACAAGTCTAAGAGTGGAAATGCCAGGAAAGGGGAATGACAGACAAAAAA